GAATGGGGCAGTCCGAAAGTGGATCCGAAGCGGTCTGCTCTACGCCTACAGCGTCCGGCAGACGAGAAGACGACGCCATTGAAGACAGCGGTTTCAAGCACACCTAAGAGTCGTTCACCTTTAAGAGAACTGACTCATAGTTCACCGAACTCTAGAAAACGCAGGTCAAGTTCATCAACTAACGGTGAAGGGCTAACGCCTAGTTCCAAGCGACGATCGAGCACTTCCAATGTTTCGAAAAGTGATGAAAAGAGGGCTACAAAGAGAAAGAGAACATCGAGTATTTCCAAAAAAAGTCGAACTGAATCTCCTAAACAAATTTTGAAAGCGCGCAATGTATGATCAGTTTCCTAAAAGCTTTTTTTTATTGCTGTTACTTTCACATTAGTGTGATTTTGCATGCTTTTTGAGTATATACCACTCGCAGACTTCAAAATTTCGGATTTCGTCCATGGGGGAAAGGGGGATTGTTTGAAATGCAGGTCGCGAATTATATCCATTCCCTTTGGTAAGTTCGTGTAGGGTTACGGTAGGTATATGGTAAGGGGACAAGGTTACAAATTTGTTTGAAAAGTGGCACAAGTTGACATGTTGGTCACGAAAATCATATCCACTCTGCACCGCAGGATCCTGCGGTGAGGTTAAAATAAGCAGTGGTGGTGGGTTAAAATCAAATTTTCTTAAAACCATCTAAAGGAAGAGAGCGGGGTGGATGGTATTTGTATGCTGATTACGAATATCAAACCTATTTCGCATCACTACTTCTCATTCTAGAGCTACACACTGCTGTGGTAAGAATTAACTTTCCCAGACTTAACCCCCTAATTAAAGGATCAACTCTTGCGCTTGTTTGACTAATAACTAATGCCAAATATTTTCAAACAAATTTTTCTATTTCGGTGATCATGTCGAATAATCCCACTAAACCAACTTGTAGGCAATTTTTTGATTGGTTCCTTAACGTCTACATTCCATAATCTTACAGTATAGCGGAATGGATAGATGTCTGTGATTTGCATGACAAATGATCCTTCAAACAAAGTTTAAAAGAAATCTAAAGTTTTAGAACTTTAAGGCACTGAAAATGGAATAGCGCTGCGTTCCAAACGTTTCTACTGACATATAGTTTTAGAGATTTCATTGGAAATATATAATAAATAAATAAAT